GTTGATGCTGAAATGGCCCTCAAACCTGCAGCCATCCCCATTATTGAGAGGTATCTTCATTGAGTTGTCAATATGACCCACTTCATGCCTTCCCATTTCATCTTGGATGTCAAGTCCAACTACTGCATGGGTGGGAGAGGAGGAGACAAAAATCAAAACAAAAGAAATAATGGGAAGGTTGCATAGGAAAGTATGCACTGCTTTTACGAGGAAAAAAATCCACATCTTTTTTTCCTGACATTTGACTAAACTGTGCTAGCAATGTCATTTGTCAAATATTAATTGTTATACCAGCTTTTCAGAAAGAACTTTGCATCTAAACTTTTCAGACTGCCCATTTGACACAAACATACCTCCCACACCCTGACAGCTGACTGTAATCTCAATTAGACAAATAGAAAAACTTCAGGTGGACAAGGCTGGTGATCTGTGAAAAGCCAACGACTAGCTGGTGCATTTAGAGTTAGAAACGAAATTTGTGAGGTTTCTTGCTCCCAGAGACAAAAAGGTTGCTATGAAAAAAGAAAATGAGACTTAGCAAGAAATCGGTGAAAGAGGTCAGCCACTAACACAGGCTGCAGAGAGAGCACAGGGTCCAAGGAAACAGATGTCCTGGCCTGGAACAGAAAGCAACTTGATACTGGAAAAGGCCACAGCTACTTGATCTCCATCCACCCTTTTACAGAGGAAGGGCCACCTTATCAGTTTGGATCCATTTCAAGTATTATTTAAAATACAAAGAAAAACTGGTAAGTGAAAAGGAGTACTCACATTCACAATGCAGGTTTGGCAAACTGATGTTCAGATTCACTTCTATTTTACCTCCGCTGTCTTTGTCTGGGTCATCCACATAGAGCTCATTAACTCTGGAAGACAGAAAACACAAGTTGGTTCAGGCATATTCCAGTTACTCTCCACAGGAAAAAAACATAAACCCCAACAACTACTTCCATAAGAAGGGAAAAAAGAAGGCTTTGAAGCAGGGGGTTTGACTGTGTGACAGCACACAAGTTACAAGACAGAGAGCAGGAAAAGCCCACCACCAGTTCACGTGGGCAAACCAAGTTTTAATTTTACTTCTTGCTCGGCAAGTGTAGGAGGCTTTAAACAAGACTCTTACACAAGGAGAAAACAAAAACCCTGCTCTGATTTTGATTCCTGCCCTCTTCCCTAACCTGAGTTTCCAGAGGTGGAAAACAAAACAATAAGCTAATGTTGAAGAGGTGGCAGGCTAGTGTTCTAGCCCTCTGGATACCTAGGCTGTTAATCCTTTTAGGAAGCATGTGCTTTTCTATTTGTTTCATAAATAGTTTTAGAGAAAGGCCACCCTTAGCTATCCCACAGGAAAGCTTATTTGAGTAGCTAATTGCTATTTGTTATTGCCACCCAGCTAACAGAGCAGTGGCAAGAGAAGACAGCACAGAATAGTCTTACCTTCCTCCTTAATATCTCATTTCAATCTATGAATGGTAACCAAAAGCAACTACTAAAACTGAGAAGGGGATTTGAGCCAGGAACAGATGGGAAGAAACATCCTGGACAGCAGGATCTAACACACTATGCATCAGTCTCCCAAAGAGTAAATGTTGTTTCATAGCACCCACAGTGCTGGCACATATTTCACAAAGACAAAATACAGACAGAGTAGAAGGAATACAAGAGTATAAATATTTATTGTTGGCACATACAATCCATCTGACACATAAAATATAAACCAAAAAAACTCAATGTAAGTACAGCTGAATTAGCTGAACAGTCCTAGAGAATCCACTCCAGGGAACCCACGACACTGAACTGAGAAGACGGCGAGATTACATAGCAGCTCTTCCTCCCTCAAAGCCCAACACTGTTCAGACACATCAAATAAGAACATTTAACAATTTATCTTCCAGTTGGACAAATGATAAAGCTATGGGAACTTATATTCGAGCTACATAAAATAAACTACCTTCCCTAGTAAGTGCCTGGTATTATTTTCATTTAATGCTCAAAGTGTGTGAAACCCTTTGACGAGCCCCAGCTGGAGAGTCTGTATGCTAGTAGACAAACCAGACTAAGGGCAGCTACAAGGCAGATTCAAGGTGATTCTTCTCTGGTGATACATCTCTGGACCATAACGAACTGTTTGCCCTCTGGATTCAGAAGAACCCAGTCTTCATACCAAGAAACACACAGCTGCCAGTTTTTTTGGACGTGATTATTCACAGGCCAGTGGGGTTCACACTCAGTCATTTAAAACCAGCACAGCATTTGTCTTCAGCTTCACAGCCCTACCTTTCTCTGTTTTTAATTCGCTTGACAAGTTGCTTGCAATCATTACTCAACGTATTTTTCAAGTGATTAATAAAAATGACACAGAGGGAGGGGAAAGATTGCTCATCAGTGACCTAGTTAGAAGCATCTTGGCTGAGCCCTCTCCTCCCGGGTGGAATGCCTTAAGTCCTCTACGTGTTTATTACTGCCAGATTGGGTAGCAATCAGGATTAAGTCATACGTCCAAATATGGTTGTGAGGAGCAGCTCCAGCCAGGACACACATTAATCCCCCAAAGCAATGCACCTTTCTGAGCTTCCCAAGTCCTCCCACAAGATCCCAGTTGCCCGCCAACCTGTTTCATAACAGCACCTGGCTCCTTCCCAGCTCTGCCCGTCTGAGATGTGGGCCTTGCCCAGCCAGTGCCGCAGGCAACCTGATGTTACTGCAGAAGGCAGGATTCATGCCAGGGCTGGCAGAGAAGCACATCAGGTTCAGCAGGGCAGCTGAACACCCCAGCTCTTTGGAGGAAACCTCTATGAAGGTCAATATTTGTATTTGCTGATTTCCAGTTCTGAACCTGTCAGAAAACCTGTGGTCTGTAATCAAGGGCACATAAGCCTTTCAGCAACAAGTGAGTGACAAGTGGTTGCTGATAGAAACCAAAGGATAAACTGGGCAGAGGGAGCCCACAGAAGAAGGCCTTACATAGGAGGGCAGGAGGTGAGGTCACTTGGTTGCAGACTGGATCACTGAGGCAAAGAGAAGTAGGCCAGTGTCCACGTCACATAGCTCATTAGTCGCAGATGAAGGAAACTGGTTTCCTGTCCTACACACTGGTCATTGGATCAATGGTTCCCAACCTGCCCCTTGGGCAAGTCTTATGGCCACATCATCATCCTCCTCCTCCTCTTCACCTAGTAGCCCCCTGCCCCTCTCCTACTCATGGCCCCAAGTTCATAACCCTATATATCACTCCTTAGACATCTGACAGCTCGTGACAGTTTGCCATTCCTTCTCCTCCCTTGGACCTGGAGCACCACCTTTCATGGAGCACCCTGCCCACTGAACCTGGCTTCCTCTTCCCAGCTCCACCACTGCCTCCTCCTGACAGCATCAGCTCTTGCAGAGAGCCCGAGCTAACAAATCCAGCAAGGTTTCTTGTCAGAGGCTCCAAAGACACTGTAAATGCAGCTACTTCTATTGCTGTTTAGAGAGGCAGCATATGGGCTCATACTGTGACTCCAAAGATGGTGCACACCTCCTCCAAAGACCCTAAGCACATAAGAATTGGTGTTTTACTGGTTGGTGTTAAGGACTCTTTGAATAAAAGTGGCACAATAAAGCAGGGAGCTATGAAAGTATGAGGGCAACAGGACAGCTGAGTGGTGGACCTCTCCCTCGGCTCCCCATGGGGCCTCCCACCACTGATTCAAGGAAAGGGTGGAAAGTTTCTTCACACAGCAGGAGCCGTGATCAGAAGCAGAAAGAATCGACTTTACTTCTAGAAAGAACCACTTTGAAATACTTCACATTCCTGAGCAGTGCTGCTGGACTTCAGTTGCTTATCCTGTTTGCTTACAAACTTGCAGCATTACACAGAAAAAGTTGGAGGGACTCTATGGCTAAGGTTGCAGGTCATGCAAATGGCACGCGAGAGGGAATGAAAGGGGAAGCAGCAACAAGAGGGCTCAGCATTTCTTTAAGATTTTATCCAAAGAAAGCCAGACCTGTTCCCCATGCTTTAGGACTTAGATTTATGACCCAACAGCTTTGTTTCCCCAGAAACAAAACTTCCCCAGTAACTTATTTCCACCCAGCAGCCCTGGCCACTAACATTAGACACTTCAATGTTTCAACAGCTGAAGAGCCTGCAGCCCTTTGAATACAAGAGTAGACACACTGCATCCACCTTTCAGAGCTTCACATGCTGCCCGGGTGGTCTCTAAACATGTTTTCCTGTCCTTGTCATACTTGTCTCAGTGTCCGCTTCAAGTGTTAGCCTTTTTTCTCCCTCTTTCACAGCAGACAACTAGGCACCCTCCTCCCCAGTCATCAGCCACACAAAAAATACAACCACTTACTCCAACAAGTTGCATTTTACTTTGTCCTCCAGCTCCCAGGAGGCACTCTCTGGTCTCCAGGACCCTAAGCCTAAGAGGAAAAATAATTATTCTTTCTTGAGGGAGCCCAAAGCTTCTCAAAAGACTTTCAGGAGAGCTCTCTTGCCTCTGTCATCTCAGCTCTAATCAGCCACCTTCCAGAAATGCTACCATCCGAAGCTGAGATTCCTGTGCTACCGTCTTTTCAGTTGTGCCGAATCAGAGCAGACCCAAGACAAACAACCCATCTTCTCAATTTGTGTGAAGAAACAACAAGCAGGTCAGCAAATTCCCTACTGTGTAATGAACTGCACAGATGTCTATTGCTCTGCTATTTGTAATCTTCCTTCTATGCCCCGAATCTCTATCAGTTCTTCATTGAGAAGGTCGTTCTCCCAGATTAGGTCTTGGCTCAGCCGCGAAGCGCAGAACACACACACTGTCCTACAAAGGAAGGAATTAAAGTTCTCCAGGGGGCAGGAAGAAGGAGAAGGGTTCAAAAGACGTCAATATAGACTGGAGTCAGAAATTGCAAATGACATCATGACCCGACCTTCCGCTTCCTGCTAACCCACACAGGTCCTTTGGGACAGACGGCGTAACAGCCCTGCACACACATAACACCTTCTATTAGGTAATCTCAAAGTTACTGCGCAAACATTAATTAAGCTGCTTAGCACCCCAAAGAGCTAAGCAGCTAAGTATTACACCCTTCTACAGAAAAGTGCTTGTCTCAAGGTCAATCCGTGGCAAGAGCAGGATTGCAGTTCCCACTGCCCTCTGACTACTAGGCTGTATTCCCTGTGCTGGTCGGGTCTGCTCCAGTATTTCATCTGCTTCAACTGGACGAGCTGGTGGAGCTGGAGTTGCATCTCCAGCTTAGTGTCAGAACACATGAGCTGCAGCACTGTGCTCCTGGTGCAGATGGCTAACGCTCCAAGGTTACAGCTTCCAGCAGAAGGAACTATAGCTGCACCAGGATCACATTCTGCTCCTTATAAGTAGGTGCAGCTTGACCCTGCGGGTTGTCATGAGGATCCTCCACGGACCAAGAGCTACAAGACAAATTCCACATACCCTGGAGAGTTAAGGGACAAAAAAAACCTCTGAAGGCAAGTACAAAAGAATCCAATGTGAACAGGCAGGACTGGTCTCAGAAGCTCCTGGCACTTTGCTTCCTCCACCATTCAGGGTACCTGACAGCCTGCATGAATGGGCAATTTGGGCTGTATGTGATGTGGCCGCAGCACAGGAGCTGAGCTGTGTGATATTCATAGACTGGCCAAGGTATTTTTCAGAGAGACTTAAAGCAAGCAGGTTCTCCCGTGAATGATCTGGTCACCTTAAATGACCAAATTAGTTGGACATTGCTCATGATTTATGCTTTTATGCAAAGGCGGTATTTTCATTACAGGTATCTTGCGTACGTAATTAATTGCCTTACAGGGGGCACAACTTTTCAAGTGGCAAACTTGTCACTTCAGACTGTTCTTTGCCTGTAACTACATTACAAGAAAAAGAAATAAAAAGAAAACACTCCAGGAACAATCTGTTGCTTTGTACACTGTGCCATGGTAGGCGAATGATCATTGAGCAGCTACATTCTTACCACAAGTATCACATTCATACCCTCCTACCCCTTCCCCTGGTTGCCAATGCAAGGCAGACTAGATTAGTTAATTACATCTTTCTTCCTTAATTATGGAATACTTGGAAAACTCTTATTGATCCTACAGAACATCATTCATGACCTAATTACAGTGATAAAGTTGCAAGATGATAATCTTGCCAGCTATTAACTTCTAGCACTGATCAGAGTTAATTAGAAAAGAGATAGGCCATTTCTACGTTCTTGATTTGCAACATAACAGCACAATGAATGAGGAAGGCTGCTAAAGGCATGCCAAGCAATTTCTAGCCCTCAGTCTGCTCTCAACCAGGAAATACCAGACACATTCAACACTTCAGCTTCATTTCTTCAGCCATTTGAGTCATCTGCTTAGTGGAACAACTGTGTTTGATACTGTCAGTTTTGCAGAGGTTCAAAAGTGGTGCATGGACTTTGTTTTTTACAGAATTAAGGTTAATCTAGATCCTTGTTTTGGATTAAGGCTTCAGTCACTCTCAGTCTGGACAGAAAAAAGAAAAACAATCAGGATCCTTGATTTCCAAAGTTAAACTTACTCTCCCCTGAACTGCACTGATGGCTTGTGGCCGAGGAAAAAAAAGAAAAACCTATTCCCTCACCAGCCCTTCACCGTGCTTCTCCTGAAAGGGATGTAGCCCCACCTAAGAACCAAGCTTTGATTTCCTTCATGGCTGCTCAGAGGACTGTCTGCTAGAGTCACGCAATAAATCTAGGAGATCAGAAACTAGGGGTTTTCTACCCTGCGCAGAGCTCGTCTCCACAGGAAGCCAGTCAGCAGCAAAATAGGATGTGCCTTCCCCAGGTGTTACCTGTGCCACACCAGCTTCCTGCGGGTCTGCTGCCACGCGCACAGCGCCTCAGTCGGGCTCCTAATCTGAAGGGAGCTCCCGTCACAGACACAACCTTAGTGCTCATCAGAAATGCCCACACCAGTTACTGACACAGCTGCTGTGATGCACATTGCCTTCCCCACACAGGCAACCTCTTTGGTTTTAGTGCTAGAGGACTGCTATCCTCAAGATGAGGGTGTAATTTCTTGGCTTTCTGCCACCCAGATGAGTCTTGAGCAGTCGAGACCATAAACACCAGGACAATGGGCTGGTCAAGGAAAACCAGCTTTGAGGTTGGGCAAGAGTGACCAAACTGAGATTTCTAGTAATACTAGGCATGTAAGTTGCTATAGTCATAGGAATGTAGAAGAAAGTCCAACAGTGGGTAGGAGCTAGCAAGTATTAGGGGTCAGTGTGGTACGGAGCAGACCTGATTTTCTCATGTAACAGCATGAGTTCAATAAACCACACCAACCTCTCACTTTAGATGCAGATACAAAAGAAAGCTCCTGCTGGTGAGAGTGAGACAGTTAATCCTGTGGTCACCACGGCTGCTGAGGCTGCTGCTGGCTTGCCCTGAAGCAGGCTGTCCATGTGCACACGCCACACACAATTACTCAGCATAACAGGGCTGTGATCTAAGTGTGAGTCTACTTCAGCCAACCTGGTGCCTATCTGATGTAAGGCACCAGGCCAACTGCTCTCGATTTCACCTTGCCACCAAAAATGTGCAGCTATCCCCATGCAGTTGGCTTTGTCAAGCACACGGCTGCTTTAAGGGAAATACGATACAAGAGGAGGAAGACTGATGCAGGCTCGTCATGCAGCTGGCACTGGCAAAGCAGGAAAGCTCACCTCAGGTACATGCATACTCTAGTCAATCATTCAGATCCTGGATGACACCAGGAAACTTCAAGCTAGGAGAGATACCTGTTGTAGGAGACTTAATAATAAAGAAACTGAAGGCTTACAATAAAAAATGACAAGAATTGAACAGTTTGCACAAAGAATCTTCCATATCTACAAAAGCATTTGATCCATGGGCAAACAAGGCTCCACATGTCTTTGTGAGATCTCCCCTGCTCTTTGCTAGCACCCAGTCTAAATGGTGAAGTAGAGTTCTCACACTGGTCCAAACAATGTAGAGCTCCATTTTTCAGCACCCTTATTCTGAACGATGGGGCTATACTGCCTCACAGCACGCTGCCAGTACTACACACTTGAAAGGGAAGCACAAGAGCTTTGCAACATCTTCAAACACATTTATGGTACTGGGTTTCCTAGAAGAGAAAGCAATGCGTAAGAAACAAGGAAAGAAAAGTTTACTGCTTTGGAAGTTGATTGTATGTGACTTTCTGAAGTATTTCCACTGCTAAAGAGGGAGCCTATTCACAAATGCTGTGGGTGATCTGTTCCCAGCAAGAGAGACTGATGACCTGTAACTCATCAGAAGGAGGGTTTCATATTCTGTGAGCTATTGTGTTGGGCTATCCATGACAAATTGGTTTCCTGCATTCATTTGTCTCAGTCTCTTCCATGACATCCTCTCTAAAATTTTACTGCTTTATTGCTTACAAACACCTCCCTGGGAAAGGCAGTTAACCACCTCGCTGACATTTTAATGAGAAACTTGTCAGCTGAGCATGCAGGAACTTACAGCACCTCTAATATCTTTGTGGAAAATGCATCATCTTGTTATGAAAAAAAGCATGAAGAGGCTTCAGAGAATCATACAGTTTTGCTGTTCGAAAAAATCTCCAGTCAGGAAACTACCCCTACCATAAAGGCAAAGGCACTCAGATAATTGGACCCAAGTTAGCTAATTATTACTAATTCCTCTGGTAAAGCATTAAGTTAAAAAAAAAAAAAAAAATCCCACACAACAAGCCACAAAAACAGAGAATGAGATGTAGGAGGAGTGAAAGAAAAGGTACTATTTTACCTGCAGCATTTTGTCTAGCTTTTCTCTGTTTTTTTAAAACAAGTAAACCAAGAAAACTGAGCTCCTGAGAGAAATGGGTTGATGAGGTGTGAGAAACCTAAGATACCACCTCTGAAGTAAATGTGCAACAGGCATAAAAAATTAGCCACAGCTAGATGACACTACTGTCTTAAGGTTAAACATTACGCAAGGTTAAAATTACTCTTCAAACCATACTCTTGACCCATGTCAGAGCTGCACAATACAATGAAAAAGCAACATGGCTATCAGAAGCCACGTAAAGCACAGTCAATTTAAAGACAGGACATGAGCCTGATGCTTTTCAGAGCTTTTTTGCTCAGCAGTGACATCTGTTGCTATCTGGACCATCTAAGTCTGACAGAAGTTCCACCCTTCCTAACTATCCAGGAACTGCACATCACAGTCTAGTGAGCTCACTGCCACATAAACAGGATGATGGAGAATGTTTCCTAGAACCCAAAACGAAGGTACCTGTGCTAACAGTTACCAAGAAAAGTTTACTTCAAGGCAGGAGGAACAAGAGAACGGGGGAGAACTGATTAACTGAAGTACTTGTTCTATTAGCAATTTTTTAAAGTGGAAATTACTTCCATTTTGCTCAAAACAAGGTCCCAAAGAGGTCACCTGAAACAACTTGTCTTCAGGCACAAAACCTATCAACTAAGTTTCCAAGTAAGGCTCAACAGACAAAAAGAAAGATAAAACTTATGAGTAAAGCTATCTGCATGTATCAGAGATTCAGCTCTGATATTAAAAAAGGTATTATTAACATTAAATAATAAATATTTTTCCAAAAACATCCAGTGAAGACTGGCAGAATGTGATAACCATTTTAACCACAGGGAAGTGAGGTGAAAAGAAAACGTCAGAGATCCCACAGCTCAGAGCACAGACCACGTGGATCCAACCAGCAGGCACCAGACATTTAAACATATGGTGTCACTGATGAAAAATACACTAGTTTGAGAATCACTCTGTATCAAAGAGGGAATAGCCTATTCAGGAGGAGAGAGGAAATGAATCTCAGAGGAGGACAAGCAATCAACAGCCTAAGGAGGAAAGGGAAACTGCAACTGAGTGGCACTGATCGTCTTGGCATTCATGCAACCTTACAGCCAGCACCAGGAAACTGAAATGGGGCAGAAGCTTTTTATGTGATCCATGGTCACATGCAAAATATCCACTGTGCTCAACAGAGAAAACCAATATATAGCTAATAAAGGATAAAGTAGGTCTGGAAGAGCTTTCTCTATCAGGAGTATTTTAGAACCATTTGCCTAGCATAATTTAGTAAATTTAAAAAAAAATGAATGACTGAAAATTCAGACTCAGCCAAAAGGAATCTAAAAATCATTAGACAACTGACCGACACAGTGAAATTACAGACACATTTTTCCAAGATAAGAGTAAAGCTTTAAAAAATCATATACACAAAACATTCCAAGGAAAACATGATTTTTACTTACATTTCAGTGGCTATGAATCCGGTGAGCTCAGACAGGAAGAGAAACAGTATGAAGAGACAGCAGCAGACAGAGACTAGAAAAGAGGCAGGGAGAGGAAAAGGTTAGTTTCACATCTTCAGCAAAGACAGAAACTGTTCTCACATAGGCATATTATTCCCTCCATGGATATGCCACCCAGATATACTTGAGAACCAACACTCCTTAGAGACAATAACCCAGACAGACCACCAGAGCAGTGACTCCAATGGCATGCCAGTTCTTAACATTGTGATGGATATCTTAATGCTTGGGCCACCTTTCCCATCATGATATCCATTCCTCTGTGGCTCCTCCATTCTGCATCTCCAGCACACAATGTTGGTCAGCCAGCTCTTCCTTCTTCTTGACAGAGCTGCCAGGCAATATTACTTCATTGGAGCCCTTGTTCCAAATGCAATTTTATTACTACTAAAACCTTCAAAAGGAGAAAGAACCATCATTCTTCCTGTGTTTTGTGCATTAGGAGAAATTTTAGTTCAATGCCAAGTTCTAAGGCTACATGTAAGTCATTTCACAGCCTGCACTATGGACTAGATAGAGCTGGTACAGCCAAGACATGGTGATAATGGACTAGTCTAGCCAATGCCTGATACCACCCTAATTTTGCCATTTGCTGATATATGTTGACTCTTCAGAGAGGGAAAATTCCCAATAAAGGAAGTTATCTGGACAAAAAGTTCCATGTCTTTTCTAGGAACACCAACCTAGAATCAAAAGGAGGGAACCTGAAGTAACTGGTATATTGCTGGTTACTCTTCATCAAAAAACTATTCAAAACATAGTACAGTGGCATTCACACAGCAGTGACAGTCACTGAGCCACACAGGAGGGGCCAGAAGGACAGATGTAAATCCTATTGAGCAGGGATGACTGGAGTAGACAAGGAAGTGCCAAGCCAAGAAGACAGGGCTGTAATGTGTATTTGTATTAAATAATACACCAAAGTTCACCATGAATCACTATACAAGAGAATAAAGCAGGAAATGGCATACGGGGCTGCGACAACCCGAGTACAGTCCAGTTTATTCCTCAATCCCAGCAGATTTGTAATGACCAAGCACTCTTTGGAAATGACCACTTTACCATAGCCACTAATTAGGATTGAGAAATACACAAGAAAAACCCTCTTCCTCACCTTTATTCCACATGACCTGTACAGTCTGAATACCCGTTCCTATGGGAAGCTCAAGCAACAGTTGGCTGGGGAACAATTTTCTCATAGATTTGTGCCTGTCCAAATTCCCTTGGTAGAGAATGTGATAGGCAAAGGAAGGAAAGAGGAGGTACGTAAGGCAAATGCTGAGAGAATCCCAAGTGACCTAAAGCCTTGTGCCTCATTCTTCAGATTAGTCAGTGTATAGTTCTGAGGAAAGAGAAATGCGTTGCTTCCCCTTCCTCATCAGTCATTTCAAGGGTGAATTAATTTACTGACCCCCTGAAAAGTGCAAGGGCTAACAGAGATGCCAAAAAATCCATTAGCTAGGATGTAGAAAAATAGAAAAGGGAAAAACAAAGTCAAAGACCAGCAGGAAAACGAGAAGCGAGAGGGGACATTAATTTCTAAAGAGAAACCTCAGGTGGTTACAGTTGTTTCCAACTCTTGGCTGTCAAGACACAGAAGAACAAAACTGCTGTAACCCAGCTAAGCCACAGGCATGGTGCTCCATGCAGTGCGGGGGTGGAGAAAGGTCTACTCAAAGCTCAGCAGCAAATTCTTATGAGAAAATACACACCTACGTACAAAGACAAAAAAAAGTAACCTAGGCACACGACCAGTTGATCCAGTGTTTCTTACTGTTAACCATCAAACAGCAATGACACAAGATCTCTGATCTCTGGCAGTATACAGGGAGGAGTGTTTGGCAGACAGCCTTTTCTTCCTTAATTGCTGCCCATATTCCCCTCTGCTTGTTATCATCTTGTAAAGGCTTTCCACAGCACCAGCCAGACCTCTCTGCTTTTCAGCACTTCTATGCAAGTCTGGTATTACTAACTGTAAAATCTCTCCCACAGCTTTCTTTCTTTCATTTTTAATTTTTTTCTTTTTCTGTGTTTTTATATCATTAAATTATCTTCTCCTTTTCCAGTATACAAAAATGTTTGCTCCCTCAAGTCCATCTTCCAATTCAGCTCTTGCAGTGAAGGCTTATAACAATATTTACCAAATGCAGTACAGTAAAATTCCTCTAATCTGTATCTAAAAAGTCCTGCAAGAAAATCCTGAAAACCCTGGCAGAGATTGACCTTCAAAGCTCCTAAGTGCTTTTGCCAGTCTTCAAACAGTGTAGTCAGTTCTCACCCTGTCTGAGATTCCTGACGGTGGATATGACAGGGGTATATAAAATCATGAGCAGCCTGAAGATGAATGGGGAACAACCACTCACTGTCTCTTCTGGTATGGGACTGGAAGGGTTAAAAACAAGAGCGGGTTTTCTTTTATACAATACCTGAACTATTTTCTCAAAATTCTTGACTATAGATGTTGAGGATGCTTAAAATAAAAAAAAAAAAAGAAAAAGTCAGTAAGCTTTCCAAAAGGAATCATATATGCCCTGAGAAGAAATCCATTGAGGACCACTCAAGACAAAGGAACCACCTCTACCTCAGGAAGTTCAGATCTGTCATCTGCATGAAGCCTGGCGAAGAGCATGAGGACAGGTAAAGTGCTTTCTCAGTCATCTGGCTACTGACCCCTCTGAGCAAGAGGACACTAGGGTATGTGGGCATTTGCACTGACCTAGCTACCATCGCTGCTATTCTGTTAAACTCTTCCTGTACATGCACATTTTCAGGGCAGGGGGGTGTCTTTGTCCTGAAACGTATATGAAAGTCTTATGTGTTAAACTGCCTGCAGAGCAAACTTATTTTTCAGATGCAGAACATGAGCTCCCCTCCTCAGCATGGAGCTGCAGGCACATATGACGTTCCCAGTATAAGAATTCACACACAGAATGCTTCAACTACTTATTTCATAGTGAAGGCCTTTACTTGCTTCCATGCAAATGTGTAGCTCCTGCCACCCACATTTGACAGCTCTCTATTTGGAAAAATAGATTAAAGGCTAGGATCAGACGGTTCATGCATAAAGCTTAGCTTAACTGCAAGAGCATCATGAGGTTCTCACAGAGCTTGAAGACCCATCTAAGACAGGTTTCTCAAAACTTTAATGTGATAAAACAATCAATATATCAAAGGTTGCTGGCATTAGACATACTGAAACACACTGATGTTGGCTAATCAGTAATCCCAAAAGGACTGGAAATTCTGCCAAATTATTTCTTCCCTACAGTAGCTTTGACGCTCTAACCTTTTTGTACATATCCCTTCTGATACATAACCTGTCTATGTACATTCCT